AGAGGATAGGTGCATTAGTAAGCAGGTCTTTACCCATTTTTCTAGTGACTTTTCCTGGTACTGTTCATATATTATTCAATAGAAAAGATGTTGAGAATTCTCATAAGAAAAGAATCATGCTACCTTCATTGAACAGATGAGAAATGGAAGAATAGGTAATGCGCCGGAAGCGAAACAAATGACTACTTGCTCCTTGAGCGAACCTGAACGCTGACTGTTCGAAGTAAGCCAAAGTATGCCTAGCTTTTCAGAACATAGGTTTGAGTGAACCGATCAGCAGAAGGAACTCGTTTTGATGGATGAGATGCTGGAATGAATGTTCAATGAATTCTCTTATGAAACTTACGAAACTGACTTCTCTTATGAAGGCAAGCTCCTTCTTCTATAAGTCATTTCCCGTGGGATTTCCCAGATCTTACTTAGTCTTTTCTTTATAAACCTGCTTCTCGCACAACAGTCAAACCCCTTCAATGACGTGCCCTTTAAGGTTAGCTTCCTCTTATCTTGCTTGCTTTCGGTTCAAGAAGATGATTGAAGAGTTGATGACCTCGCTGCACACGAACTATATTTGGATTCCCTCTTCGCTTACCTCTATGCTACTTCTATTATTCGAAAATGGGAGCTTCTTCTACAGAACGAAACGAATTAGAAATAGAGCATAGAAAAGTAGTCGTGTGGGAAGGGTTTGTCGAGAAGCGGGCTGAATCGCTGGCGTCTTCTTATCTACGCTAGCACGACTCAAATTTCTATAGATAGATACGACCCCGCACATCTGGCCATTATCATCGTCACGAATACGGGGTTGTGGGTGGTTGACCCTTTGAACTGCAGGATGATAGGTTGGGTTTGAATCCATCCGGATACTCGCATTGGTAAGCCTCTGAGAAGACATATGTGGAGCTATAGAGCAAAGGGAAAGGTCGTGTTTAAAGGAGTTTCCAAGTCAGCAGGCAGGGTGGCCATCCAAATCAAGAATGTTCGATGTCCCATCCGAGTAAGCTTTTTTGGCTCCAACAAAGCCAGCTTTCCACTCTGATAGAGAAAGATTATGGGTACGTACGCCATTCTCCTGTTATTTATACCCCCTTATTGCGTAACTTCGCCTCAAGCAGTCAAGAATGCCTTATCTTAAGGCGGTCTTTTAAAAGAGGTTTACCATATTGGCGGAAGCCTGCCCCTTCCCTCGCATCAAAAAATGAGTCAAGTCAAACCTTCGAGCACAGGCTTTCAAATGCCAGGAATGAATAAGAACGCCATACGATTTGATGAATAAGGATACGCGGCTAACGAAAAGTTGTGCCGACGGAAAAGAGAGGATCCGACTATTCAACCCTGAGAATGAAGATTGGAAAAGAAAGTAAACCTTACTTGATTGATGCACGGAGCGAATGAGCGGTGGATTAGGCCTGCTAGGAAGCATATGAGAGTCAACACTCTATCCAGAAGCACTCTTATGGTACACAACGTTTCCTTGCTAATCACCATGAGAACGGGAAAATGCCAAGATCAGGTAGTTTTTTCAGATGATTCTACAATTGGTTAGCGATCAGAAGGCAAGTCATGCTACCGATACATTTCATTGAGATCGTTTTCATGAGGACTTTGTTCCCTCCCTGTCGGGCTCCTCATTCTTCAATCATTTCTGCATCCTACTTTTGAATGAAAACTTCCCCCGGTTTAAAATAGGACTCTGAAGGCTAAAGTGAAGAGAGTATAGCCCCGGCAGGAGCTGTAGCTGAAGAAGAAAGGTTATTCCTTTCTAGCCTTGCTGGAAGGATGGATTTCCCCTTGTTTCCGACATCAAGAATGAATGGAATGAAGTAGCTAGTTTTGCAAACTGTCCTTATGGAGAAGTTTGTATGCTCTCTTAATTCATATGAAAATCAAATATTGCTCAACTAGCTTTCTAGCTTACTACTTTAGAGCACATGGGCTTCCTCTCTTATACCTTTATTCGCGTTCCCTTCAAGCTTGTAGATTGGGTACTGATGCTGAACCTTCCTTCATTTCTCTGTTCCATTGTACACGGAACACTGACACAATCTTCTATTTGGAACTGAGATTCTTTGTACACAAGATTGTCTGTTGAACGGAGACGGAGAACGTGTTGCGGAATCAAGATCAGATTTTCTTACATAAGCGATTAGATGCTCTTGTTACAGATGCTCTTTCTTTCTCTCTTGACTTGACTATGTTGACTACGCCGATTCCTATTCTGGTTCTTGACCTTACGCTTCTTGTTCATGATCCCTTTCTGCTGCGCTCAATCCTGATGAGTTGCTCAAGAAAGAACAAGCCAGGAGACCTCTTAAGACAGATCAGGTACAGCGGCTGAGGAAGAAAAGAAGACTCGCCAGCTGCTCTTGTATTAGCGGTTGAAAAGAAGAGAGTGAAATCATAAGATGAACTCTCGAACACCCCTCGATGTCAAACATCTCTCTGATCTATTGAAGACTTGCCTTGTTTTAGTATATACTTTATCCAGTGAACGCGCCCCTTCTTCTTATTTATGATTAGGCAGTCACTTCCAGTCTTTCTAATTGGGGTGAATCCTTTGACTACTACACGAATGAACTCAAATGGAATTCCCCATCACGTGAACTATGTTTTGGGTGGAAATAAAAAGGCGGATTTTGATGGGACACATTCGTCGCTTTGCCAAATAGAAATAGAGAGAGATCCCTTTCTCACGTGCTGGTGGTAATATTTCTTAGGGCGGGTTTCTCTAAGGAATTTGGCACACCAAACTCAACCATTTGATTGCAACGCTAAAGGACCTATTTCTTGATTCTGTTTTTGTTTAGGTGGTAGCCTAAGTTTTGGGAATTGTTTAGATAGTTATAGTTGACTAATTTGAGTCATTATTTTTCCGAGCCCCTCTACTAAAGAGCTCTTCCGCGATAGCGTTATTCAGCGCATGGTGTCAGTGAGTTTGAGTATTTAAGGATAATTTCCGGAAAGAAATCATACCAAAACTCAGAACCTCTTATCCTGACGGTTGTTTTTTGTTGACTCTGTTATAGGCCTCCCCCGCCCCCTTAGACATAAAGGGGGTCCGGTCGATGGCCCTCAATCTATCTTTCTAGCAAAGTTCGCTCTACAATACTTCAGGATTTATTGTGGGGTTGTCGGAGTCAGCTTTCAACACTTTAGGAGATTGACCATCAGCACCACAGTGTCATTTGAAATTCGACTGAGCTCCTCAATTCCTTCTATATTTGATTCTTTCTTGAGATGAAATTGACTTGATATGAGAAAGCTAGGTCTGGCACGAGCTTCACCCATGCCATGTTCCGAGAATAGAATACAATCGCGCGGTTGAGAGATCAATTGTTAGGTTGGGGCGTATTATCCGACCAGTAATATAGGAGAAGTGAATCGGCAAATAAAGGCCAAAACATGTATATGATTCCTTCCCACATGTTCCGAGAATAGACAATAGCTTAGATGTCACTTTATTCCGAAAGTTCAAGATCAAAATCATTCTCCGTTCGAATGGCGGAAAAGCCCCTCTGATCGAATAAGTGTGACTGTCCAGCAGTAAGTTTACCACCTGTCTCTCCAACTTCTTTCTATTTCTGGTACACCAAAGAGGCAGCATAGAGTTGACCAAAATCAAGATCTTGGTGCTACAAGCAGGCTCCTCCGTTGATAAAGGGTCAAAGAACCAAAATATGCTTCGAGACGTCTTGCCGATCTACTTTAAACGGAGCTAGAGGGACTCCGACATTTAAATGAATACTTCTCGGATGAAGAGTAGGGTGGGATATAGGGGAATGGACTTCTCAATTTCCTGTTTAGCACCAGTCGTTGTAGTTGATCGGTGGCAAGTCTTCTTGTTGACAGAGAGGGGAGTCAAGTTCTTTCGCCGCCTCTGTGAATCTATACCGGCGTACCCACGACCTGCCTAAAAAGGAGGTAGAGGGTCTACTTTAAGACTTCCCATGTGCGGGAATGAATGTGAATCAATCAGATTTGCTCATTTATGATACCCCTTCTCTCTTATTATTAAGTCATTTAGGGTCTTTTTTCGCAATAACTCGGGGTTGACCTGAGAAAGATTTCCATTTCTTCTTCTTCGCTAAGAAGCAAGAAAGACCAGGCTCAGAAGAAGGCACTGTCGAAAAAGAGCATTTCACCCCAACGAGGAGAGCCTACTCATCACGTAAAATGCTCCTATCCTACTCATATAAGAGTGGTTTTGGTTTGAGGAAGACTTTTGTAGATGGTCAAGCTGCTGATGCTTGCTCCTTTTGATAGCTGTGTTCAAATCATCATAAGCTCTTCAGTCTTTATTTTATTACATTTTCACTCATCCAGGGAAGAGGTTACCTACTCTTAATGGTCACTTCATCGTGGGCACTACGAAAAGACTATAGTGAGGGGTCAAAGCAAGACTTAAAAATAAGAATCTTGGTCAATTTCAAGCTTCTATTTAATATTTAATAAGAAGCTTGGCAAGACTCTCCTCCAAGACGGAACTTGTTTAGAGGTAT